CTACCACTGAGCCACCCACCCCTTCTGTGGCATTGTTATTAAAAAAAATAAATTCACGTGCATTTGATACGCCAAAATTACAAAAAAATGGCCCTAAAGTACCTACTTGAATTTCTCCTCTTAGGTTCACACTCTCCTAATCATATGGTCTTAGTCAAGTATCGCTTTTGCTCCCCTTACCATGTCTTCGCACTGAGCAAATAGTGTCAACGTTCTTTTTAATCTCGAACATAGACATCATATATAGTATCTAAGATAGACTCGCCCTTCACACTGTATAACCAATAGACCTTTGTCCGCATGATACACCAGACGCATAGAGTTATACCTCCATGAGACGGGGAAAGGGGTATCGTACGTCGCACATAACCGTAGTGTTTCGAAAGGGTCTATAAATTACTTATTGATCAAATCTTAATAACATATACACGTTCTCTAGGTCTTCCGAATTAAAGGTAAATTTAAAGAAGCAATTTTCAATATATTCAAAAAACTGTTCTGTATATTTTCTTGTAAATTAAAATAGCAGCTCAAATTGGAGAAACAGTTTTGTTAATATTTGAAACAACGACGAAAAACTACTAGACTAATTCATTCATTAAAAATTAAGCCCTTCTGTATTTCAATCATTCAGATTGTGTTTTATATTACACAGACAGAGCTGTCGCATCAGCTGCCGCATTAGAAAGAACAAGACGGCTGCCAATTTGAGTGGGGATAATTTGTGCGAGTTTGTTTATCTGAGAAGCGAGCATGCGTTTTATGAATGAAGTACTTACGTCTACCACGCTTGCTTTACGCTGTTGTCACACTTTAAAATTAATTGCGAAGTTTCCTGAAATATGATAGTTGCAACAAGAAAATATTAAACTGATAATAATTGGCATTAAGAATACAAACATACTTCCTTAATGTACTTTTGAAAGCCTTTTGTGTGTTTAGAGCCTTATGTTAAGTCAATACCAAATTATAACCACACATATACTTATTATAATTTGACAACTACGTGGATAACACCATGAATTTTTGCAATTCGATTTTTATAAACAAAATTAGTCTAGTAGTTGTTCGTCGTTGATTTGAAAGTACTAAATTGCGAATTCTAGATCATTGTTAAAAAAAATGAATAGGGGAAAAAAATTATAAAGCTATTTATTATTATTAAACTCTTCACACATTAGTTTGTGAATCGTAGGTTTATATTGCCCGTCCGACTGATGTCACGTTTTTTGTCCGCAGGATAAGTCAAAAACGAAAAATGGTATCAACTCAAAAAATTTAGAAAAAATCAAGCTCTGTAACGGAACAAAACCTATTGATTTTGAAAAAAACAAAAAAATGGTGGCATGTTATTGGGTGAATTATTTTAAGAAAAAAATGTTATTTGGTGATACCCCCCAAAACCCCCCCAAATACAAGAAAATTAGAATTTTTATATAAAAATCGGAAAATTGTAAAGTAATTTTTTTTTTATTATAAAAAAAATGTAATTTTTGTGAAAAATCAGTCAATTAGCGTCTCTGTAGGGGTCACATAATTTTCAACGATCCCGTAGGGGTCACTTTACAAAAAATAATCACATTTTCGTCTTGTCAACTTTCTCTTAAACAACCTTCTAGGACGTCCCGCTGGTGGGACACACTTTCACTGAAATATGCCTGAAACGTGAAAATGTCATGTAAATATATTTCATAGTAATATTTCTAAAATAAAAATTAGAAATCTTTCAGAAATAATACATAGTAACATCTCAGACATGTATTCTATACTTTTTCATAAATATTATGAAACGTTGTAGAAACGTTTCTAAAATATTATTAGACATAAAAAAAGACATTTAGAAATATACATGTTTGTTTAAAATACACAAAACATAAACATTGATTCTTAAACAAACAATAAATTGTTTTTAAACATTATTCATAAAATATAAAGGCCAATCGCTTAATTTCCACCAATTCCTTTAAATGCACTAATCTGAAACAAATTATAGGTACTTAAAAAAAGGATTTGATACAAATTATTTGATTAACAATAGTTTCATTAATATTGTTTTAAATTAACTATAATAAAACAAACAATACTCATGCCTAAACAAAACATACAGTTCAGCTTTTCAATCAGAGCTGTAGAACTAATAAGTAAAGCTAGGTGGAGGGACAGGTTATATTTAGATAGAAACGAAACTTAAAACTGCCTGTAAATTTGGTAAACGAAATGGCGTCACCCCTCTCAGGGAATGATATAAATTAAAAAAACTTATCCTAACTTACAAGCATTATTTCTGTAGTAAACTCACCTCAATTTCTAAAGACATATTCTGCTTCCCATAGAACAACAGCACAATACTAAATAACAAAAAAAGCAAATTGCAAAAACCGACTACGCAAATCTCTAATTATTTAGACTATGTGGTTGTCTCTGGCTGGACATAGGATGATATAAAATAACTATAACTACATGACCCATCTTCTTCTTACAAATCGGAAATTCTTCATTAAGTGTTGGCCTGTTACAACATAACCCGTTTAGTAACCTTTTTTGTAATATTTATACCATGTTCCAGAGAAACATTTTCTGAAACACTTCTGAAATAATATTTGCATTGTAAATTTTAACAAAAAAAAAATTATAAATTTGAGGGCGTCTGACAGCTCTTTAGTAGTGGCCCTGCCATCTGACTATGTGCAATATCTTTGGAATGATAATCATGGGCGTTGCTATAGGAGGGGGGTAAAAGACCCCTCCGGAGAGTGAAGTGGCAATTGGTAATTTTTAAAAAAGGCCACCCTTAAAATACTAAATCATAAAATATTCATTACAATTAATATTAGCTACGTACTTTTATTCGTTGGTAAGAATTGATGTGCAATCCATTTAAAAAATTATCTAAAGGTACCATTTCGGAAGGTGCGACCGATGACAATAGACGCGACGGCAAAGGCGACCAAGAACGGTGTCTTCACGTCTGAACACATGCAATTATATGAAACACATTTCGCAAGGCGTGACCAGTGGGAGAGACAGAACTCGACGACAGGTAGGTCGGTCTCGGGGTATCGTTTGCTGCCTGTCTCCCTTAGTCATCGCTTGTATTTCGAGGTGATTAGTCGATATTTTATAGAAATGGTAGTTGCATTCTTTGGATCTAGGCAGTGTTGCCAGATGAACATTTGCTGAAACGTTATGGATGAAAAAAAAAAACAGTAGATCTAAACAGTAGATTTTAATACAGGGGGAAATAATTATAATTTGCAGTGTAGTAAATAAAAAAAAACAAGGACATAAGAAACGAAAAATAAACATTTTTCTACCCAAATTAAAAAGTAAACAAAGAACAAAAACAAATAATAACATTTTTAATATATACTTAACGTACGCAAAACAAAAAAGAAACTAATGAACAATAATAGGTATTTCTTTTAGATCAGTCTGAATCAGATAATTCAAATACGTTGTGTTTGGCATGCATGTTCTTTTTATGATGCCCTATTAATTCTTTGTTCCATTTTAAATAAAAACATAATGATGATCTTGAGGTTTTTTTATGGAGCAAACCTACAGTAGTGGATGTTTATTACGCTGCTTTTACTTCAGCAAATTTACTAGAAAAAATATTCTTTGACCATTTGCTGAAGAATGAGGCGAACTTAATAAATTAAGAACAAAATTTGTTAAGTTGGCGAAAACAGTAGATTTCATGCCTAAAACAGGAGAACAGAGACAAAAATAGTGGATCTACTTAAAAACAGTAGGTCTGGCGACACTGATCGTTCTCTCGAATGGTTGCGTATGTCGCGTCGCATGTCTACTTGCTTCCCAAATGTGTGAAGCGTAACGTAAATGCATCTGTTTCCTTTGCTGTTACGTTTGTTGACGTCTGCCGCGCTTTCCGAAATGGTACTTTTAATCTACAGATTCTACTTCTTAAAAGACAGTGCTATTAAATATTTTTCAACTTTGTAACTTGCCGCTATATATTGCGTCATATAACATTTACAAAATAATTGTATTTTTCATACAAAAATATGTTATTATCTAATATTTGAGAAATCCAATTCTGCGAGCGCAATGTTGCCAAATTAATAAATATACCAATAAACATTAGGAAATTCATCATATTGGCTTTTTTTGAAATGTACATATAACAATTTTTATTGGAACTTTATTCTTTATCAATATATGTACAAAGAGTGGATGTATGTGCGTGGTGCAGGTAAAAAATAAAAAACATATTTTATATTTAATAAACTGTATTTCTCAGTCATCCTTAAAAAAGTATAAAAAATATTCACACGGTATTTTTTCTTCACATTCTTCCAACTTACAAATCGAATTAAAGCTAATTAACGTTTAAGTACAAGAAATTAATGTATTTTTTAATATTAAATTATATACTTTAATGTTTTTATGTTTTCCTAGAAAATAGTGATCTTTTACAAAAATTACAAAACTCAAACAGCACAATATTATAATACAAGTCCGTGTATAATACATAAACTCGCGGACTGATCTTAATATCTGTTTGGAACTGTTGTTATACAAAAGTTTTGAAAACTAAAATCAAAACCATTGTACAAAAAACAAATTATTTTGCCTGTTAGGCTGTAATAAAACCTACAAGTATGAAAAACAATTATTGTGACTGGGTAAGTTGTCCCATAGAACAAAATTGGAACAAACTTAGTAATTGCAGCTTATTTGGCACTGACAGTGGATCCGTAAAAGTGATATGGTTTCAAATGGTCACATTTAGATTTTATTTATAAATTTAATATCTTTGTTTATACAAATTTGATGTTAATAAGTTATTTTTACAACTTGTGACCAACCTATTTAACACGCCACTTTTTGGTTTGTTTATTAATATAAAAAAAGGCAGTGTTCATAAGGAATGATTTTAAGACCTACGTACGAGTAAATACATTTGATCACTGGAATATTTGCAATAAAAATGTTCTAAACTACCACGTTTTTATAACCGTCAATTCAAAATTTACCTCCTTTACGTCATTAGTCATCTGTCAAATTAATGACATTCGTGAAATTTTTTGTAAAAACGTTTACAGATGAGAAATAAATTGATTTAGTTGCAAATATTTCTGGAATCGAGAGATTATAAAAACGTGTTACCGAATATAGTCGGTATTTTTCAGTCCTTTGTATAGTTGTGTACAACGAAAAACTTTCAACAGAGTTTAAATATAAATATACATAGGTTCGATATTAAAAAAATTACAATGTACCTATTATTTTACAAAATACACTTTAAATATAAATTAACTTTTTTATAATATATATGGTACTTGTAACATTCATATTTTTTATAATATTAACTAGATAGTTAATTTGCTACTTGAGCATTGAACAGATCATGACCAGATTAGTTTATTGACCTTCACTTTCACTGTCACTTTTATCTGAAAAAAGAAAAATCGTTTTTAACAATAATAAATAATTAAATCGTTTTATTTTTAATTATTTAAAAAATGTATAGCTTCTGAAATAATTAGCATGAAAAATAATGGAGAAGCAAATAATGAGAATGATTCTAAGAACAAATATAATAAAGGAAGAAGAAAATAGAATAAAAAAATAAACAGTGTGAAGAAATATTACTAGAGCTAATTGAACTCATAGAACTTATAGAAGTGATCAAATGATCACTATAAAAAACTTTGTTTAGATATTATATCGACTATCTAAAGAATCTCTAGAGTTACAATGAAAGCAGGAGGACGATCCTAGCAAAGGACAATGGACTATGATAGTGTGACGTCAGTTTTTCTAAACAAAACAAAGTAACAACGGTTGTGTCAATGCTGTCATAGTTGTCAAAACTTTAAATGTGGTAAGATTTGTGCTTTGTTTAGGTTGAATTATTGTTAAATTAAATAATTTGTTGTGGTCTCCTTAGAAGTTTAGCTTATTTGTTTACCGTTACATTTTTCTGTAGAGTTTTGTTTTATATTTGACAAGTTACACGACAGTTCCCACTACCTAATCATAGTGTATGTTGTTCATCCCCTCCCATGTACCTAATTACAAATAGCAAGCAAGAAACACGACATGCCTCCTTTTTCAGTTAGATGAGGGATTATTTAAGGATTGTTGGTCATATTTTGTTGTATGATATATTTTCCTTTGGGGTATGGTTCTGGTCAATGTTGCTAGAATGAAAAAACAGTTTGTAATACATAATTTACTGAAACGTAACAAGACAAAAATGTAATACATGACTTCTTGAAATTGTCAATGGAACTCGATTTTGTTTTTATCTCTGGGGTAGTTAAAAAAAGAAAAAAAAAGTCCTCAGCTATTTGAAGTTCATCAGTCGATCACTAAAACAAAACATTTGTCTAAAAGGGGTAATACCGTACTACTATGGATCAAACAAATATTAAAAGTAATTTTATGAACCGACTTCAAAATCGTGCAGATGCCGTCACCACATCTTAACCAAATTTATATGGGACCACCCCTGAGGCACCCCCTTACTAACAAAAAAGAATCATAGAAATCGGACAAGGTGGTAAAGAACCTACATAAAAAATGAAGAGTTTGAGGATTTTTCTTATGGATTCAATTATTAGATTATGACCAAATTTATATGGGACCACCCCTGAGGTACCCCCTTACTAACAAAAAAATAATAATAGAAATTGGAGAAGGTGGTAAAGAATTACTGCTAAACATACATTAAAAATAAAGAGTTTGAGGATTTTCCAATGGAAGCAATTATTAGATTTTGGCCAAGTTAATACGGCTGAAGTACACCCTTTTCTAACAAAAAAAAAAATCATTGAAATCGGGACCGTGTTAAAAAATTATCGCTGAACGTACATAAAAAAATATATATTACGACGAATTAAGAACCTCCTCCTTTTTTGAAGTCGGTTAAAAAGTAATAAATATATTGCAATTATGATAAGCTGGCAACACTGGTTGACTAACTTTAATGTGACAGTATATTAGACAGCGGTTCAGATTGGTGACGTTATGAAATAAAACCAATGCAATGAATTGGTCACCGGTTTTGGTCAGCCTATGAAGACCAGTCTAGTCCACGATGAAAGACAATTATTTGTCATTCACCGGGGTCTAGTTTTCATAGGTCAGCCATTTATCATTTTTGTTATTGGATATTTTGTTTCGTAAATTCCACGTGCCTTATTCTTATTTTTGAAGTTAGTTCTCATGGTATAGCACTTCTGTGCAATAGTATTTTGCTTCATTTTTTTAACAACAGTCTAAAAACCTAATTTTTATGAGTTGTGTATATTTTCTTCAGGGCTGAGAACTAGCTGTCAATCCCAAAACACATTAAAATCAAATTTAGAATTAGCAGGACAGCAGGAGAACTATATTTTAATAGACGATGAGAAGGAAACTAATAAATAATGATAGAATATTCCACAAATTAAAACCAATTCACGAAGCCAGAATATTTTTTCTGGGGTACTAGATTTCATAAAAATGTATTAGATTTTTTCAAAGTGTTAAGAAACAAGTCACTGATGTCAAAATTCTGTGCAGTATATAGTGTTCAATTCTGTATTATGCATAATCCTGACTTCAGTGACATTTCTGTTTGCTGAGGTAACAAAGCTTATGGTTGGGTAGGAACGGAAGTACCTAACTGCTACTACTGCTCATTTACTATACGGCTAGGGATAAAGTACTAGATTTCGTTACTGATTTACAAGAATGTACTAGATCTAATTTTAGACTGGCAACACTGTGTATGATAGGTGATAGTGACATCTGTCATCGTTGTCATAATGTGTTAGGAACTTTTTTGACGTCACAACTATCACTGGCCATTATAGCCAGTAGAAGATGAAAGGTTGTAGTTACATTAAGATTTGAACCGACTTGGTGTCAGAAAGAGACAAAAAAATAGAAGCGATTAGTAGGATGTTAGTAGTATAATAGAAAATATTATTTATACTTACAACCAATATTCTGGTTACCTTTTTTGCCGGGATAGGCATGGCGTTTCAGTCTATCGTACAGATCGTCCTTTGTACCGTATATGCTCGCGTTAGAACGAGCTAAACTGTTCATTTTACCGTTCACACCGTTGTGCAAACTCTCTTTCATGTACGTTTCGTTGTAGAAGTTCGGCATCTCCCAACCGTCCTCTTCGTCGTCGTAATAGTGCGCGTAGGTCGAATGGTGACTAGGGGCTATGCTTTCTGCGTACGGCGTCGGAGCTCCGTAGTAGAAGTTGACCTGAGAGCCGTTTTGGTCTGTAGCGGGGGTTAAAAGTTTCTTCGGTTCTTTCCTGCGACTCGCCCTATAAAGAAATATATCGTTTTATGAATGCTTTATCTTTATATCACGACAAAATTTTAATCTTACAAAACAACTTCCAGGGAGGCTATTTTTAAACTTGAGAGAAAGTGAATTCTCTCAAGATTTTCAAGAGAAATATTATACGTCAACGTAAAAACTGTATTTTAAAAGCAAGTGAGAATTAAAATGATTAGGAGAGTTTGAATTCTCTCGAAATACCAAGAGAAACAGTCAGTGAGGTCTCACTGGTTTTAAAAATACTGTTTTCGCAATGACATATGACATTTCTCCTGAAAATCTTGAATTCTCTCGAGTTTGAAAATAGCCCCCCAGGAGTGAAGCAAGTAAAGTGTAATTATAGATCGTCAGATAGTGACAGATTTAGGTGTCCCATTTTCGCATACAAGCCTTGAAGAGGCTTAAAAAGTACATCGATGTTGTGTAGAATAAAAGGAAATTTACGAATGGCTCTTGTGAATAACACACGGAAAATTCGATTTTCCTTAACAGAAATATTTTTCAACCACAAAATACTCTGATCCATTAGGGTTATTCAAGACAATATGTTTTTAGGACTAATGACGATGTTCATTTTCATGCATTTTTTCTTACATGATTACGCCCTTATTCCAACCCTTTAGCCACTTGCAACGTTAAAGCCTTTGGTTTTCCGAAGCCTAGTTCTTTTAGATAATCATTAGTAAACACGGCTTGGATGAAAATATGGACACCAAATACCTTTAACTTCTGGTAAGGAAAATCGAAGATTCCATATGTTATCCCATATGCTATCCCCAGTTGATTTGTTAAGTTGGTAATTAAGGTAATTGTGAAGATGGCAGCACCTGATAGAAAAAATGTGATAGATATCAATTTTTAAACTTCTATCGCCTATTCCAATTGTTATTTTGTTCTTTTTTTTTCTCGCCTCATATATTGACCACTTTTATTTTACTGACTGCTCCATATTATTTTACATTTTTACTTATTTTATTTATTAAATCTTTATTTAATAATGCCTAGGTTCTCTGTTAGGTTTGAGTGACTAATCATATTTCATCTATTTTTTTAGGCAGACCAGGTAATCCTTTCTTTCTGATTATTTTATATTTTTTATGAAGTTGTTTTATAAGGGTACAATTGTTTGAGGCATAGGTACACGGAAAAAGCACACTTACCTTGCACAAATCATCCATATTAATAGAACAATAAATATGATCAGTATGACTGAAGCCGCTATTCCTCCTACAATATAAGCGAACTCGGATTTCTCAGTACAGTGTTTTCCGGTAAAGCTGCCTATACACCTGCAGGACGGCTGTCCTCTGACATCTTTGACGCACGTACCTTCGTTGTCGCAGAATCCATCGCAAACATCGAAGCACTCCTCACCCGTTCCGTTAAAGCCAGGTTTACAGTCGCATTTGAACTCGCTCGTTTCTGGCATTAGTAAGCAATACGCGTTCGGATCGCAGTGCATTTCTGATCCGTTCGTTTCGCACGGGTTCGTGCACTCTGCTCTGCTCGTCTGGAATTATTAATTCTTAATTAGAATAATATACAATGAAAACATAATAACAATCCAATTGTCATTTAAACGAAATATGAAAATAAAAATAATTAATTATTTGTTGAAGCTTGCGCAATTCAAACGAACGCAAGTCTCTGCTTAACTGACGTCATGTCTAACCAATGGCATTAAGCATAACAGAAGCGAAATTCAACCAGTAAGAATCAAATGCTTACAGCGTCACTCTCAAAGTTATCCCCTAAAATCAAGAGTAGGTATCTTCCGGTTTTTCATAACATGATATAAATTTGAATTTTAGTAAAACTTTCCTACATAGACGTAGCTACAATCTTTAATCTCCATATTCTATACATTATTAGATTAGGTTAGGAGTTGGACGTTATTTGTCCTTGTCCACCGCAACCTTTTTAGATCTATTGTGGGACTCCGTTTGTTTTAGAGCATGTCGTCTAGCCTGGTTTTTTATTAGACTTAGTAGCTTTGACAGTGGCTCCCGCATGTAGTTGCTTGCATTTGGCTTTTCTTCGCTCAATGTTAGAAACCTCATTCCACCCAGGCCTTCACATTGGCACAGGACGTGGAATGATGTTTCCTCTTCGTCTTCACAGAACCTGTACAAAGTTGCTTCTTCTGCTGGACTGAGGACACTCATGTGCCTTTTGAGGCAACAGTGTCCAGTAAGAAGCCTACTGTTATCCTAACGGTTTGACGCTTTTGATTCAGTAGGTCTTTCGTGAACTTGGCCTATGGTTCCTTGATGAACTGTTTGGCCTGTCTCAGTCTTGGATAGTTGTTCCACCATTCCTGAGACTCTTTTTGCATCCATTGTTTAATGGATGCCTTGCACAATGCCTTAGCAACTCCACAGAAGGGTTAGGGGCCTGTCATGGCCTTATCTGAGCCTTCTCGGGCTAATTCGTCGACCTTTTCGTTGCCCTGATATCCCTCATGGCCTGGAACCCAGGTTAGGGTCACCTTATTTTGACTACTTAGCTCTGTCAGGTCTTCTAGACAGTCTTTCATCAGTCGTGATTTGATTTCTGGTGAGAGAATTGCCTTTAGAGCTGCTTGGGTATCAGAGTATATGGCAATAGTTTTGCCTGATACTTGCTGATTTAATATTTCTCTTGCACAGTGTTGTATGGCTATTAGCTCATCCTGGAACACTGTTGCATATTTTCCTAAACTCAGCGAAATCGTTGTTTTTGAACCGTCTGTGTACCAGACGAGTTCAGCCTGTACGGGAGGTCCCTGTTTCCAGGATTCTCGGGCTGGTATTTGAATTTGAAAATTTCCTTCAAATTTGTATGTGGTTATGGCTCTATCAGTAGGCATAACTAGAATATTATCCCTTTTTACTTGCTGATATAACCTTGTGTGGTCGGTGCTATGTAGTTGGCTTATTGGGTTTTGTCCCTGCATTAGCCTGTGAATAGCTGACCTGGTTTCTTCTTGTATGAAGATGTGCAGTGGCGTGAGATTTAATAATACCTCCATTGCTGCAGTTGGCGTAGTGCGCATGGCCACAATAGCACTTAGACTGCAAGCCGCTGAATGCTAGTGAGTTGGCCTATTGCACTTGTCTGCGCAGTTTTAGTTACCCACGCCACTGCGCCATAAGTTATTACCCCAGTTTTCCCACATATTCTTCTACAGCTTACGAGAGCTATTGTAGCTTTGTATGTGAGTTTTTTGAGATGTTGATTTCACGTTAGCCTTTGGTCAAATATGACTCAGAGGTATTTGGCTTCTATGACGAATGGAATAACTATGTTGTGTAGTACTAGTGGTCTTAGTCCTGTAAGTACCCGTTATAGTCCAATAGTCGTTTAGCTAAACAATATAAGCCACCATAGATTTATTCTATGTTTGTCAACGCCGCATATTGGTAATTATCTAGTAATCCAATAATAAAAGTGTGTAACAAGGACGTAGCCTGGTTTTATAGGAATTGAATATTAATCAGCATGTTTCATTCTACACTGATTTTTAATAAAATTAGGATACATGATCACACCTATGATTCATTCTTCATCTACAATATACAGGGTGAGACAAGAAACATAAACTAAAAATGCTGTGTCTTTTGAACTTATTGTAATGATTTTAGTCTCAAATATTTATAATTCGTAAAAATGCAATAATAAGTACTTACCGCCGCAGGTCCATTAGTGCTTGTATTCGGCGGGCAAGGAATACAAGTTGTCTGCTGGTATTCAGATTGATAGAATCCTTTCTTGCACGATACGCAATTATTTAAAGTACCGTTAAGGTACGATCCCGGTGAACACACAGGCAAAGAACATTCCTCGACGGTTACTCCACCAGATTTGGGCGTCGTCCTTCCCAATGGACACGTTTGGCAAGCAGATTGAACACCTATTAAACAAATTATTACTTAAAATTACAATAATTGAACATTTTTGTATTAAATAATTTTTAACTTTTAATACATTGACTCCATGACTTTCCATTTAGGTGTACCCACATCCCAACTAGCCATTCATAAAAGTGTATTTGTTGTAAAGTTCTCATCGTCATCTATTGTATAGTCCAGGAGACAGTGACGATTTTCGGTATTTATTTTCCCAGTCAGCAAGCACGAATAGAGAATTGTAGGATTAGCAATTCTAAGCAAAATTCATATATATTTAGAGGGGTGATCCGATGGGCTGAGGCCGGAAATGCGTCAAAACATACGAGAACACGGCCCTTTTTTTCCATTGATAAAAATAGTTTTAGTAGTAAGAGATGTACTGAAGTCAAGTAAAAAAATAGTCTGATTAATCTGTATGGATAATATATTTGGCAAGTGCATAAAATACACTTTCAAACGAGTTATGTACAGAATTATTTCTACGACCACAATTATTTAAAGAATGTTCCAGGTGTTTTGTATATTAAAGTGTACGCATAGGACACATAAATAAAATCTTATATCACAATGTTTCACCTAACCAGTTGGTTTATTTATAGAAATTAAACATAATAATTGAAGATATTACAGAAGAAAATAGGGAAATAAATTACATTTCCTTTTACACTTTTATATAATAATTGTTTTATTTAGAATTCACGAATCACTTATTACTCTACATTAATTATAATTATTGTTAGTTTCGTTATGTCAAATCATTTATACTAGAGGTGTGAGGAAAATACAGTGAACTGTGGAACGCCAATATCGTTGAATGCGCCTGGTAGAAATGGTCCTATAATACTGCTAAAAACATAGCTAAATTTTCATGGAAACACTGTACTTTTGACATTTGCGATACTCCGACGCATATGCATTATTGATGTAATCTCATGATTTTACAGTAATAGTTTTTGCAATTTTAGTGTGATTTTTAGGTTATTATGGTTATTCATTTTATTTGGTTCTGATCTTTTGCGCTTTTAGAGTATTTGTCTTTTATATAGTTTTTAATTTGAATTTTAATATTGTGGTCTATTTATATTTGATTGCTGCTTTTCGACTAGTGCTTTATTCTTTTTGTGTTAAAATAAGCTTTATAACCATTAAGTACATGCTTCTAGTTGATATCTACCTAATCGTCATCGGGTGCTTGCAACAATGGGAAAAAGTGTATGGTTTTTTTGGTGTAAAGTTAGACGCCTTCATTTTTCAGGTAAGTTATTTGTAGTTATTTTTTACTTAAAAGGATAGCAATACGTCCTGGTTCGGGGTGTGACTTTTGGGTTTTAGCTATCTGAGCCAAATTGTCGGCTAAGTGTCCTCTTTTAGGGCACCCAGAACCGAAAACTATATAGGTATATATGTTTTTTTTTTTAATTATTTTTTAATATGTATGCAGCTTGGATGAGGGCTTTAGGAAGAGATCCTAAGACTGAACACTGACTGCTATAAATGCCGTTTTTAGAGCACATTTCATAGTAAGTGATTTCATTCTAGCAGCAATGAGGAAACGTTTAAAAAACATGCTGTACCAGCTATTACTTTAAGACCTCGTCTCTTTAAGTTATTATTACTTCATTCTAATGCATATATTAAAATGGTTTTTAACTTATGTCCTTATGATTAAAAGATGTAGATATTTTAGTTATGTTATAATATAAATATATGATACTTTGTATTGACTGACCTACTGGCCACTGGTCATTCCACTTTTACTCCCTTTTTTCATAAATTATCAAATTATTTAAAAACAAATACATACCTAGCTATTTTCTGTAAATTACATTAAAATTTTAGTATTAATACTTTACTAATAAAACTTCAGTTAATTTATCTTATATATATATATATATATATATATATATATATACACAACGGAAGAGTTAATTGGATTTTCTCCTTGTTGAGTTTCAAAAATAGTAATTTAACATGATTTAAAACAAATACATGAAATGGGCAAAATAGGCCTGCAAAGGCACTTTGTAAACAATCTCACTTGTATCGACGTGACGTAATGCGCGAATTCAATCTGGCTTACTTTTGTTAATAGATTGGCGTTCCATTTTAAATATACAGTTCACCGGGAATAGATTATTTAAATATACACGGACCGGGAAAACAAGTACGAAAAAATTCACTGGCTCCTGGACTAGTAGGTACTGTATCGAAGGAATTTTTATGAATGAAACAATATACGACCCTCCACAATTGCGGTTTACTCTACTTCCGCTGTTGTCAGACATTATTTTTTTTGGACAATTTAAAGACCTAACAGTAATTCAAGAAAACGCAATAACATTACTACAGTTAAAAACATCGCAAACTTGGCATCAATATTTTAATTTTATCCAAATATTGCATTTCTGTCGAGGATCATCCGCGTTGACTTCAGAAATTGTGTAATCTGTATTGGTTATATATATCTATAGTTAAAAGCACGTAAACTTGGCATCAATGTTCAATCCGATTATTGAGTTTCTACCGCGGACACCACCGTTCATTCTTCAAAAATTTTGTAAATAATCCTATCTGTCTTGGTTATATATCTATGGGTGTACCTGATGATGAAGTAATCACTTCGAATCCTGTCGCCAATAAATTGACTTTGTGAAAAATGAAGGTCCTTTCTTTACACCTTCGTACTCAATCCCAACCACTCACATATGGCTACCCTCTCAGCCCTAATAAAACTGAAAGTAATTTTTATTCCTCAGGTGATCATATCTCTCGATCTACATTGATTTATGGAAGATAGGTCCAAGGTCACACATAAATCTTATTTGTTCATATCAGAGCCCTTAAATAAAAGGAGTCAAGTAAATGTGATTTACAACGACTTCTCTAAGGCTTTCGACAGAATTGATAATGTTATTTTACTTCAGAAGCTCCATAGATTTAAGCACTCAGCTACATCTGCTGTTGTTTTGTCATCTACAGGACAGACATAAGTATGTTTAGTGACGTAGTTATATATCAGAAAAGTTATCGGGAGTCCCGCAGTGATCAATTTTGGGGCCTCTTATATTCACTATATACTTGAATAAAACTGTTAACATCAATGATATATACATACAGATGATTTAAAATTATTAGTGGAAATTTGTGTTCAATGAATGAATATTCTGTTGTATCTTTCACCGGGCGACTAACTGATTTTTTTAATTGCACAATATTCTTAACAGTTTTTAAAAGGTCCTGGAATATTTTTGATCCTGAGCTAAACCCTCAATAAACATATTAAATCAATGGTGTCATCTGCAAACAAATGCTTTTCTTATATTAGATGTCATTAATACCTCATGAAGCCTTATGATAGCGGTTTAAACTTTCTGAGCTGGCAAAACGTAAAACTATTCACCAAATAACATTAAACAGGAAAATTCTTAATGGTTACATAGACATCACTGATTTGGTATAGGGTCGTAATATTAATAGGTAACCTAGTTATGACTTATTGAATTTTATATTACCATTACTTTCTAATGCCGGATTTTGTAATATGAGAGTTTAAAATTACCTTGACTTCTGTAGGTGCCTCTAGGGCACGGCTCGCACTTGCCGTCTACGCCCAATTGTAGACCACTGCCGCACTCATCTCTGCATTCCTTGATAGAAACAGCTTCATTGGTTCTTGTCGTTTTTCCAAGACCGCATATCTCGCACGAGAAAGAACCTTCGCTAGGTTGATAGAAACCGTGACCGCAACTGCGACACAAACCGGCTTCATGGTCGTAGAATTTACCTGCTGGGCAGCGTTCTGAAACAGCGAAACAGCAATTATCTTATCCTACTTTCTACTAATATATAAATGCGAAAGTTTGGATGCATGGATGGATATTTGTTGCTCAATCAGGAGAAAGAGGAGAAAGAGGAGAAAGAGGAGAAAGAGGAGAAAGAGGAGAAAGAGGAGAAAGAGGAGAAAGAGGAGGAAAGAGGAGAAAGAGGAGAAAGAGGAGAAAGAGGAGGAGAAAGAGGAGAAAGAGGAGAAAGAGGAGAAAGAGGAGAAAGAGGAGAAAGAGGAGAAAGAGGAGAAAGAGGAGAAAGAGGAGAAAGAGGAGAAAGAGGAGAAAGAGGAGAAAGAGGAGAAAGAGGAGAAAGAGGAGAAAGAGGAGAAAGAGGAGAGAGAAAGAGGAGAAAAGAGGAGAAAGAGGAGAAAGAGGAGAAAGATGAGAAAGGGAAGAAAGGGGAGAGATGAGAGAAAGGAGAAAAATGGGGAAAAGTGGTGGGAAGGTTAAAGTTGGGGAGGCGGAAGTTTGTATGGAGGTATCGATTTTTTAAGGGTAGAAACTTGAAAATTGGAATTGTAGCTACTTATCATAAATAAATAGATGTTTCAGGAATAAATACGAATAAATACAAATAAATACGAATAAATACGAATAAATACGAATAAATACGAATAAATAAATACGAATAAATACGAATAAATACGAATAAATACGAATAAATACGAATAAATACGAATAAATACGAATAAATACGAATAAATACGAATAAATACGAATAAATACGAATAAATACGAATAAATACGAATAAATACGAATAAATACGAATAAATACGAATAAATACGAATAAATACGAATAAATACGAATAAATACGAATAAATACGAATAAATACGAATAAATACGAATAAATACGAATAAATACGAATAAATACGAATAAATACGAATAAATACGAATAAATACGAATAAATACGAATAAATACGAATAAATACGAATAAATACGAATAAATACGAATAAATACGAATAAATACGAATAAATACGAATAAATACGAATAAATACGAATAAATACGAATAAATACGAATAAATACGAATAAATACGAATAAATACGAATAAATACGAATAAATACGAATAAATACGAATAAATACGAATAAATACGAATAAATACGAATAAATACGAATAAATACGAATAAATACGAATAAATACGAATAAATACGAATAAATACGAATAAATACGAATAAATACGAATAAATACGAATAAATACGAATAAATACGAATAAATACGAATAAATACGAATAAATACGAATAAATACGAATAAATACGAATAAATACGAATAAATACGAATAAATACGAATAAATACGAATAAATACGAAGTTGTATTTATTGGATTTGAAAGACAGGGGTCCTATTCTCGAATGTCTATTAAAAATGTCGCATTCGTCATAATGTCTACTACTAATGTCTATCAAAATGTCGATCGACTGACACTATCCATATTCTCAAAGTAAAATCGACAATTTGTAATCGGTGACATATTTGGCGAATGGTAACATCTGGCAACATTGGATAGAAACATACAAGACGAGTATATTACAGCACACAATTACTTGAAGGATCCCTTAGTTATACAAAGTAATACTGCAAATATATCCCAAATATATGTTTTTTTGATAAATACTAATTAGATAGTAGAGTACATATAATCTTTTAACTAAAATTTCATAAGGGATTAAATAGAAAATTGGAAGTACAATTTGGTAAGAGATTAAATAGTAAAAAGAAGCAATATATTATTATCACAGTATAATATAATCTAAACATTACATAAAATGTCTGTGATATAGTCTTTTTACCTGCAATTTGAAAAAATAGAACTATATAAATTTCTTAATGACAGGTATTACATCTCTTTCATGGGCCGATTCCTTGAAGAGCAAAAAAGGCCCTTTTAGCACATTGATGCTTTTTCCAAAGGTTATTTCGCATTTCTTATTCTCAAGGGCCCACAGACTGATGCCCACTGACTTAGGGATACTGAATGAGACTCAGTGATTGAGGCCCGATGCCTAAACAAGAATCCACTGCCCGAACGAGGACCCACTGCCCGAACGAGGCCCGCTTCCTGAAAGAGCTCAGGTTGAACGAAGGTCTACCGGTCTTTTGCCGGTAGACCTTAGGTGAAATTATAAATAATCATTTCATATATTTTTAAGAACAATTTGTACAATACTTATTTTCATTCCTCTTAAAAATAAATAAAAACTGTCACTGTCACGACCCTCATGACATTATATTTAAAAAGGCATGCGACATTTCAATGTCGTCTGGTTGAATACCATTCGACTTTATGTCTAACAACAAATGTCGAATTCGACATTCCGGAATACGTTTTTGCGTTCTTGTTCGACATATCATCAATGTCGCGTGTGACATTTAGAAATAGACATTCGAGAATAGGGCCCCCAGAAACCAAATTTGATACTATATCAATCCTGCTTCCTGATTATCTTTTCTGTTGATGTCATCGGCTTTGACAACTCAGGCCATTAGCCTTGTTTTTTGTGTAGGCAGGGCCGCCGAGAGCCAGACCGGGCCCCAGGACAATTCTCTAGATCGGGCCCCGTGACAAAAAAAGCTCTTTAAACAAAAATTTTTCCTGTTCTACTTGAATTGAAATGTCTTAAAAAAAGCTCCTCAAGCAAAAACTTTTCTTCCTCAACTTAATTATTTTTCAAAAAAACTCAAGCAAAAACCAAAAAGGATCCCCAACCAAAAACTTCCCTCTCTCGTCTTGTGCCGAACATTCGGTTGTCGGGCCCCCCTTATACCGCTGTCGGGCCCCAATTTGAGTCCGGGCCCCTTGAATTAGTCCCGGCTACCCCCCTCTAGTCGGCCCTGTGTGTAGGTTACGGAAAAGTATTATTATAATAGGTACTTCCATATTATAGGTTTTGTTACTGTTTCGCAGTGTTACTTTAGGAAGAATCCAATAGTAAATGGTCGAATGGGCAATCCTAACTTTGAATCAGATTTATTTTTAAAATAAACAAATTAGAAAAAAAATTCCTTACAAATTGTACTTGCTGTATTAGGTAGATGGCAATTTAGTTGTAAAATTTGTAAAAAAGTGCTTTTATTATTTAGAACACATCCTGGTTCACAATGAAAAATGAGAGGGAATGGAAAAATTACTATAAAGACACTTCATATTATTAACGACAGCTCTGTGGCTATCGTTGATGAACGACAATTTTACAACCATATTTGTCTATTTTCAACGACAATCTTTGTCTACTGAATAAGAAAATTCGTCTGTGAACGATTATCGTCTATTAACGACGTCGTTCAGAGTTACTGAATAGGCCCTAAAAGTAGTGTTACTGACATAAAACATTTCAAATAAAATATTCTTCTTTTACCATACCTACATAAACAATGCTACGATTTTCGGTAGCCTTGGACGAGTTGATATAAGAACTCAATTAGTAGTGCTTATTGGAAATCTATAAAAAACTATAATGATGAGGTAACGCAAAGTAGGTACATTTTAAGCAAAATTATTGACTGTGTAAAGTGCTGCAATTCATCTGAACTCCTTTACGAGGGCATGATGAAACAGGGTAATCGGAATTTCCTGGAAACTTTCGTGGATTAATAGATTTTGTTTCGAAACTAGAGAGTATTTTCAAAAGAACATTTGGAAAACAGTAGAGTATAAAGAAGTTTTCAAAACAATACAGAATTTATTGTTAGAATCTATTTTAGCGTTAACACAGTAAAAATTAAAGAGCGAAGTTGAACGCTTTAGGTTTGCGGCTATTCAAGCCAATGATACTACAGACTGCTCAAACAAAACACAACTCGTTTTTATAGTCCGATACGTATTCAATGAAAATATTCATGAAAGCTTTTGCAAATTTATTAAACCTAAAGGTACAATGGTTTAGGCATTGCCAAATAAAATACTTGCAGAATTGGAAGAACTACAATTGAGTGGGAATATAGAAGGTGTCCAAAAAAATATAAACAAAATATCCATCAAAATACTTTGCGCACCAATAATCCTTGTACTTTAAAAAGCAGCTAGTCAGCAAAAAGTAATAATAATATTTTTTGACAACTTACATGCATTTTCATCTTTTTTTTTTGGATAATCTAAATGGATTTCAGTTTAGATCGAGTAGTCAATAAAAGATTACCAAAATCCGCTCCCGCCAGATGGTGTTTTAATAGTAGATGTATTAAAACTGTTTACTGTCAAGCACATGTTCAGATACTTTTTTGTCAAATATCGATGTTATTTTGATTGGGAAATATATTGAAAATGTTAATACTACAATACAAAAAATTCTAGATAGTGTTATCTTTATAGGGCCAAATTGTAATTTTGGATCGAGTAGCTCTTAAAGAAAACATCCGGGAGAATCCAAACGAAGAATTTCTTTAGAAATATGTGCCATAATTTTGTCGAAAATCCGCTGTAGTTTATAAACAATGAACGCATAAACTACGTAAACGAGAAACACGAGTGTGGTGAGCAGTGAAACGAGTGCAATGAAGCTAGCGTACTGAAGCATATCTAAGCGAAGCGTGTGCAGGGTAACAAGAGAAGCATAACGGAACGAGTGAAACACCAGTTATTTCTCGTAATATCATAAAAGATGGAGTGATTTATCCTCGGAATTATCTCAATATCAGGTATTATTTTTTATAATAATTATCTTATAGATATCTCAAGGGATGTGTCTTTCAATTCCCCTCTTTAAAAGTCAAAAATAAAAAATTAATAAAAACTAGTTTGTGCGCACTATCCACCACATTTTGACCCACCTCTACAATAACTCACGAGCCGCGCCTGAACAAAACTGGCGCCCGAGTAATTTCCGACCGTAGAATTACTATCTTTGAGGCAAGACCTTAGAATGTTATCAATCGCACAACTAAAGCTACCGAACAAACAAACAAACCTTTGCAATCTGCTGCGCTTCTAGCTCCAACGCTGACCGTAACTCCTGGTCTTCCTGCTATAGCAGGACACTGTATACATTGAGTTTGCCCAGTCTCGCTTTGATAGAATCCTTTAGGACATGAGATGCAGGTTTTGGTATCTTTGTCGTAGTAACTGCCGATAGCACATGGAACTATAAAATAATAGTATTATCTTGTGAAAGCCTTGGATGGTGTCCAGCACTTACCGCAATCTGGTGGCATTACAACTTGACCTATTGGACAGGCGTAGTCGGATTGGAGGATCAACGATGATGGATCTGGTACTGTATTTGGTAAAATATCTCCTACGTCGAATTGATCTTCTTCCAATATAAGTTTCTCTAAAAGGGCTTTTACGGTTGTCCTTTCGTTGGTATTTAGGTTAACTACTGGGTCGCTAAAGAAATTAAAATAAAATGCTATTATAGTAAAGTAAGAAGTAATTAGTTATTACAATCGTATGAGAGCTGAAAAAAATCCTCATGCATTATCTAAAGAATGCAGAATTGCAAATACAGAGTGAATTAATAGCCTTTTATTTAATTATTTATTTATTTATATCTTGAACAATTTTTCCGAAGCTGCGTTGACACTGAAGTACCTTTTGACTATGAAGCTAATCTCTCGTACTCACTGAATACAATTTATTATTTACCAGATATATGCTGTGACAATAAATAAACAATTCCAATCAATTTCTATTCAAAACAATAGCGCCGACGATTCTAGAATCACCAAGTAACACCATAACATTAAGAATAAAGTTAGGTCAATGAATTCACTTTGCAGTGTGGTATATAAGAAGTACAAAAATACTGCATGCTTACTTTATCGCCGGGAAGGAGATTTCAATGTCGTACGTGTCACTGGAGGAGGAGGATTGCCTTCCTTGACGGGAACTTCTACAATGATATGAAGATGCTACTTCTACACATTCAACTAAACTATAAACTAAATCTATCAAGCCATGCAACTAATTCAACGGATACACGAAAGTAGGTACCGTGATAAGTGAGAAAATGTGTTCGTGAAAACATGTGAACTTACTAAATTCTACATGCAACAAATTCAACTGCTTTATTGCTTTTATTTCTTGTTTAATCAAGAATATTAAAAAACAAAAATAAAACTATTACTCAGTAGTTTTTTGGCAATAAAACCAACATTATATAGAATTTTTTGAATTTTTAGGCCAATGGTAGTAAATTGCTGACAGGTGACAGAAAATGGGAGTAGGTACTTCTGGTGAATAAGTACCAAGTTTTTACTAGAGGCATATGATTATTCATTATATTATCAGTGTAGGACTGTCTGAATTTAGTCTGTCAAATGTCATGCATAATTTCTGAAAGTATATTTTGATCTAATTTTGATATTTGTTGGTTTTATCTCAAAAAAATCACGCATACTCTATGACTACACGAAATCAATTACGGAAACTAGATAGAAAAACCTACTTCTCAACTGGTACGTCGCTTTTAACGACATAAGTGCCGCCATCTTCGTCATCGTTGGCCTGTCTCGTTTGTCTGCCGGCTCTGTGGTCGCATTTCACATCGATGTTGAGTTCCTTACATTCTCTAGTACCGTCCACCGAGAAAGAACAGAAGTTCCAATCCCTGTTCAAAGAGTTAACGGCGTTTCGAACCTTTTGCTTCAGAACTCCTTGACCCGCTTCGTTACATAATACAGAGCTTGGGAATAGCATGTCTATCCTGAAGACCCTTTGAGCCGGTTTGGCAGCTGGAAATAATGATGTTGACATAAAATTAAAATACCTAATAGTAAAAAATTACTATCAATAATAGGAATTTCACTTACAAGAACAAGCAGGATAAATCATTGGAAGGTTGGAGTTCTTTGTCGGTCTCCAGAATCCTTCAGCTCCGCACGTATAGAACAATGGTATCTCTTGCGAAAACCTCAAACCTGGATTGCATCCAATTTCGCAAACTTTAAACTGACCACCGGCTCCCCAATCCTTGCACAACTGCATTCCACCCACGGGGTCGGGAAGTTCTGGACAGAATTCAGCTGAAACATCAATAAAATAGTTAGAAATACCTACATAGAGCGACTTAATACTGCGTTTTAATACTTACACAATACAGATACTTTGAATGTACAGGTGGCTGTATTTCCAGCAGCATCCGAGGCAACGTAGGCTATCTGATAAATACCCCATAGCAAGGTTTGTCCCGGTCTGTGACCGTTCTTTTCTTGGATTTTTGTTATTCCAACATTATCGGTGAAGTGTGGTTCGTCCCATACTACCAAAGCAGATCCATTTTTGGTGATTATCCATAAGTCTCCCGGACAGTATTCAACCTTTAAGAGAAGCAGATAAAAAACATATCTAATATAGGCTTTAATTCGTCTAAAGTTCAATAACATATTCTATAAAGACTAGAAAATGGCACATGAATATGTAAAAACAGTGACATTTATGTGAGAAATTTCGGCCAATATTCTTGAACATAAACAAAACAAAAATGTAGATTAATATCATCTCAGTTATAGAATGTATTGGGTTGGCAGTTTTATGACGCGACGAAGTTGAGAAGAAGATATATTCCAGAGGTGTAATTTTTAAAGCGCTTTTGTCAGGTTTATAGATGTGTCAAGAACATAAGACGATATTAGAGCCAGTGTCTATACAACGAGCAAAATGGCCAAACTCTGAGTGGTTCAGTGTCAGAGTTGCCAAAATAACAATTTATTAAAAGTGAGTAACTGGAGAAAACAGCACTGTCGAATGTTTATGTAGATGGAGGCTACCGAAAACGAATAATTTTAACGAGTAAGTAACTTTAACAGACACAGAAATTACTTTTAAATAATAATATACAAAGACAGATTTTTTAAATTCCTTTAATTACAAGGGAAATTTTTCATCTCACCTTCTATGACAGAAAATCTTTTGGGATAGTCCCATATCCTATGTTAAGGAGGAACAAGTAGTTAAGATCCTTTGTTTTGATGCGCTAGCATATTCGATTTGTCTTAATACAATCAGATCATCGAGTAATGCAAATAGAATTAGAGTAGACAAATAAAATCTAATCTGACGAGAAAACCTTTCGTAAGCTAGAGTGCTATCAGAATTAAGTAAGTGCAAAAAAACTATAGTAAACATACCTTTGGTGGTATCTTATCGACTTCAAGATCCTGACATTTAGCTCCTTTATATCCTGGCGGGCAGTTTCTTTGTCCGCAATGTGAAGGTACTATTCTCTCAACGCCACCTACTGTATCTTCGTAACCAGCCCATGTGAGTATCAGACCTCTATATAGCACAGGTTCCGTTCTACAATCTCTTACTTGCTTTTGGACTTCGTTCGTCACATCCAAAGCTCTTCCCCAAATTTGCACCTTCGTCAAATGACCTTGGAAGCCTGATTCGGTATAAGCCTTGGGGTTGCCCGTTTGTGGTTTTCCTAATGTGGCCCAGGCGCTAAAAAATAATAAAATTGTCACAAATATCATCCTTTTTATTAATTTTATTACTTACTATTCTGGTAATTTCCTGCCGCTACCGTAACCTTTCACTTTGCTTGCTATCAGACCTTCAGTGATCAGTTTGAGTTCGCCACCGTTTTCTCCATCCCATACCACAGCGATGTGATGCCATTGCGCGTCATTTACTGTCGTGTAATCGCGATAGCTTAAATAGACATCTTGTAAATCTGGGAACATAGAAATTTGAACACCGTTCGAATGCGCTTGAACTATGGGACGTCTGTCAGTTGGAACGAATTTGTTACTACAATATAAACAATTATTAATATTTCATCTCCTTTTCACCTTAATGAAACTTACGTTACGCTGTAAAGTGTGAAGAATATGCCGTTTTCATCTCTTTGAGTAAATTGCACCCACATGGCGATCGTTAAGCTAGATTTGGTACCGGTGTAGAAAGGTATGACCTGTGAAGCTGAGCTTCTCGTCGCATCACTGAAGTACAGGTCGTAATCCACAGATATCGCTAAAGATAATCAAATATTCATAATCTGTAGCAAACTGAAAACTTTTAAGTAAATTAGTAAAAGTAGTTCAAACTTACTTTTTCTGCAATCCTCTCCTGTCAAATTGAACGGACATTGGCAGTAAAATTTCTCGGTAAGGTCGATGCAAGTAGCACTGGGCGGGCAAGAATTTTCTTTGCAATCAACTATATCTTCACCGCAGAATTTTCCAGTGTATCCCGGTGGACAAACGCATTTAAAACCGGGGAATTCGTTAAGACATGTTGCGCCATTCTTGCAAGCTTTGGCTTGGCATGCGTCGTACTCGTACTGGCAACCGATTCCGCTGAATCCATCACTGCAGGAACAATTCAAACCAGAGCCGAAATCTTGGCATTTTCCACCGTGCATGCACGGGTTACCGATGCATCTCTCTGGAGCTGTCTCGCATTGTTTACCGTCAGTACCAGATGGACAGCTGAAAAACAATATAAACTATGGTGGGTACTAAAAATTTAACCAGACAGTAACAATAGAAGAGAGCTATCGAAACAGAAATTGCCATAAGTAAAAAGTGACACAACAAAAGGAAAAGTCAGCAGATTTAAAGAAGTTGAGTCATTTACGTACTTTTGAACATAATTTAGCTGGAAACCAAATTTAAAAAAGGATATAAAGCAGATTACTGAAAGGAAACAATACACATGAGCTTAAGAATGTATTCAACATTACAGAGGAACAAAATATTAAGACCCATACTAATGTTTGGAAGTGAAACGATTTATAGAGTGAACAAAAAATGCTTACAGTATGGAAAGTGTTCATATGAATCAATTATGAACGATGTATGCAATAGAAGAACCAACTGGAATTTCTAGAAGAATCAGACATTGTATGCACAATTAAGGGATATAGACTAGGATGGTTGGAAAAAACAAAGAAAACATATAAGGAAAATGGGATGTAACATAGGACGAAAGAAAAAACGAGGCAGGCCCAAAATAAGATGATAGGACGAGATGCTGAAATATCTAAAGGTCAATAACTGGAAAGATAAAGCAAAAGATAGAAGGAAAGATAACCTATCAATCCAGCTAAACTCAACTTACACACAGAAGTAGTCCTGGAAAAGATTGATACACTTGGCATCGTTTTGGCAAGGACGCGACTGACAACTTCCAATGTCGGTCTCGCAGTTGGGTCCGGTCCATCCTGGTCTGCATACACAACGATAGGAACCGACTTCGTCTCTGCAAGTACCACCGTTGAGACAAGGTTGAGATTGGCAGTCGTTGATGTTCGTTTGACAGGCGTTTCCGGTGTAGCCTTCTCTGCACATACAGACGAATTTATTGTCCAAGTCTACACATCTTTCGGTTCCTATGGGATTGCAAGGATCGCTAAGACATTCATCGATTTCAGCTTCGCATTGTAGTCCGACGAAGCCCGGTCTGCATTTGCATGAAAATCCGTCTACCAAATCTGTGCAAGTGGCTCCATTTTGGCATGGTTTTGAAGAACAGAAATCTAGAAAAATATCGATTAGGATTTACCAATTCTGATTTCAACTAAAATATACTGACCTAAAGGATGTTGGCATTTTTTCCCGGTAAAACCTGGTTCGCAGGTACATTTGTAATCGTCTATTCCATCAACGCAATGACCGCCGTTTTGACACGGATTAGGTTGACAGTCGTTAATGTTTGATTCGCAAAGTTCTCCAGTCCATCCACGATCGCAAACACATTCGTATTCAAATAGTTTATCAATGCACACTCCATTCTTGCAAGGGTTCCTACTGCACATGTTTATCTTTTCCTGGCATCTTTTTCCGCTAAAACCAGGCGGGCACGTGCAACTGAAATCACCCACTAAATCTGTACAGTTAGAGCCTAATAAACAAGGTTTTTCGGCGCAATCATCTATGTTGGTTTCGCATAGTTGTCCCTCCCATCCTGGGAGACATTCGCACATAAATCTGCCTTGCTGCAGAGCTACGCAAGTAGCTCCGTTATTGCAAGGATTTCCATTCGCTGTGCAAGGATCGATCTGTAAAAAAAACAAATGAAATCCAGTAAATGAAATATGAGGGCACTAGCTCCCTTGTACCAAAAGCCACCGCGAGATGTCGCCACCTGTCAGCATTGAAAATTAAAACTAGCATAAGTAATTTGCGACTTGGTTAAGCAATCCAAGATGACTACCATCGTTAATGTGAACAAATAAAGATAAACGAAAAATATACTAGGTAAACGGAAAAACAAACCCAAAACGGGATTATTAGTTAATCTCTGTTATTGGTCTAATTTGCATAAGACGAATGGCGCTATGAATGAGATATGATGTAGATTAATTTTAAATTGAAAAATAATGCGCAGTGGCAATGTCATAAGGGCATTAACATTTCTGTTATTATTGGTCTGATTTGTATCAGAAAAAGGGCACTATGAAGGATTTGTGATGTAGATTAACTATTACTGGTTTGATTTCCATATGACAAACGGCACTATCGAAGAGATTAACGTTGAAGAGAAAAATCATGCGTAGTAGCATTATCAAAAAGCCTTTAATAAATATAGCCGATGTTATGAGTGTAATAAATGCTATGTCATAAATTTTTAAGACTTACTGTGACATCGCAATCAATTCCAGTGTAACCAGATCTGCATAAACAGGTGTAATTGTTGTATCCTGGTTCATCTTTGCACATAGCTCGAGCAGGGCATGTATCATTAGAGCAATCAGAGCGTTCTTCTTGACAGTTAACTCCTGAGTATCCGGGTGGACACTGGCATTTGTAGCCTTGAGGTAAATCGATACAAGTTCCGCCGTTGTAACATGGCTGAGACGAGCATTCATCAATATCAACCTCGCATCTTCTACCAGTAAAACCAGCTGGGCAGAAACAGTTTATGTTGTGTCCCATCGGTATGCAAAGTCCTCCATGTTGACAAGCGTTTTCTTTGCATTGAATAGAGCGACATTCATCCCTTCCTGTAGCTCCAGGAATTTCCGTCTTCATATTACTTGGGCACTCACTGCAGGATATTTGACCTGATAGCGATTGGTAGAAATTATGGGGGCACATAGAGCATGGCGCTAAACCAGTTGGGGAGTAATAACCAGGACTACATTTTGGTCTACATTTATCTTTTCCTGCTGCAGCTGGTTGGTACGTAAACGTATTTGCCGGACAAGCTTGGCAATCTTTGAAGCCTCCGGTGGGGGGTTCGCTCGTAAAACTGTTTCTAGGACATTCCAAGCAAGGGACTAGACCTGTGGGTGAATATGTACCGTAGCCGCAGACTGGGATACAATCGTGGACACTTTTGGATCCTTCTTCTCTGGTATAAGTTCCTTGTGGGCACCTATTGCAAGATCCCTGTCTGTCGCGATTTTGGTAAAATCCTTTGGGGCAGTAAGTACATTCTTTTTGTTTTTCTCCAGCAAAAGTCCCAGCAGGGCAGTGCACTGAAATTAAGAGTTATTATATTTATTATATTGTAAAAAAATTGTGATAACTTACAGCATCTAGGTACGTCGTTAGTGTCCATATTCAGAACTTCGCCTACGTTGCACGTAAAACCTCTTTGGTTAGTTGATTTCAGAGCTTTAAGAGGCGGGCATTGATTTCCAATGGAAGAGACATTCAAAAGAGGTTCGACTATGTCATTGGCATATGGTACCGATAGATCGAACATCAAATTTAAAGTACTGCCGCAAAGATCGTAGAGTTGGGGTTGTCGTACTATCGGAATTATGTCTAAAATGTAATCGACTTTGACGACATTTTCTTCAACTAATGTTGCGACCGCTTGAATAAACGTTACGTTCATTTTTACGTTGACAGCTGAACATCGTTCAGATAAAACTGCGTTAAGATTTTTGTAATATTGTGCTAGGAGCTCGGTGTATTGGTTCAAACAGGAGGTAGCTACAGCCCCGTTGGCTCTGTAATTGATGGACGCTGTGAAGTGGTAGTCAGCTTGTTGCGTATCTAAAAAAAAAGGCTGGTAGATCAAATTGGAATTCTAATTTTTAATATACTTACTTTCTGAGACACAATCTGGAATCACAGAGCTCGGCTTCCAAGGACTGTTAGTTTCACAAGAGAAAGTTTTAACTGGATCTCCATCAGTAAACCTATAGCCCGGATTACAAGTGCCAATACACTGCAATCCTTTGTCTCCTGGTAAACAATTTAGCGCCCCGTTTACAGGGGGTTTGAGTTCCCAATCCACGCAAGGTGTCGCTTGAACTGACACCTGGAAGTAACAGGAGGCTTTGTTGCCGTATTTATCGTTGGCGATGACTGTAACGTTTTGGAAATCACCGATCGAAATTGTGGCTTTATCTGGGATGAAAGTAATGTGTACTTCTCCCGATGCGTCAGTTGCGTTCAATCTGCGACGGGTTTCGTTGAAGTTAATGGCATAACTGTCTTGCCTGTCTACCAGCTCGATAACGTAGCTCTGGGGACAGCTCAGTTGCGGTGGTGTATGATCTACAAAATAGATAGTAAACACAATTTTCATTGGAAATTATATGAAATTTATTTGACTTACCTGGTACAGTAATATTTATTTCGCAAATGGCTACATTTCCATCGTAATCGTACGCTACATATTTAACTACCATGTCTTCGAAAACGTACATAGGAGTTCTGAAACTTGCTGGCTTTACCTCTAATCTGGCGATGCTTCCAGAGTTATCCACAGCAGTCGGTTCTGTGAAATTAACTGGAAGAATACCGCCATTTGCGTCTTTTTGAACAACTATTGGTTGTTGGGGACAATTTTGGAAGACTGGTGTCTCGTTATCTGAAAATAAAGATATTGTCACTTACATTACAGAGACCAAAGACCGTGTAATAAAGAAGCCGGTTAAAGAAATAATAATATTTTCTTACCAACGCAAGGTGAATATCCGTAATCGTATCCTAACAGCGGTTCTTTTTCTGGTTCATCACAACCCATTAATTCGAATTTCAAACAGGCGTTATCCATGTAACTGACGATACCTAAGATAACGAATCTAGCTTGGACGTATTTCGGCAAAGAAATCATAGCAAGTTCGCCATAATTTCCAGGATCCCTCATCGTCAAGTTGAAGTTCGGGAAATAAACGACGTAATTTTCGTTGTCTGCTTGTTTGTAGAAGAACCTAATTTCTGTCGGCCTTCCGACTATATCATTGGTCACCACTCCTTTTACTAGTATGGCTTTCACGCGGTATACTTTACCTAGATCAACGCTGACGTAAGTAAAAGCTTCCTGCTTTCCACACCACCCGGTAACAGAATTCAACCTGACATTTCTCGCTTCGTAGTTAGGTCTTTCGCTCGTAGCATTAATGGCAGAATCAGGAATCTTTCCCGATGCAATTCCCAAAGGACGAACTATCTTACATTCGGGGTCTCTAACGCAAGTAATCGGTCTTGGATTGATTAGAATATAACCCGGTCGGTGGCAACCGAATGATATCTCAGATCCTTGTTCGTAACTCCTCGAAATTTGATAACCGTCACTAGGTCGTCCTGGATCTTGACATACAGGACCTTCACATCTTAAATCCCCGAAGTCCCAGACACCATTGGCTTGGCATCTCACTACGTTATCGTATTTACTACTTTGCCCAGCTAGTTTAAAAGTATTTTGGCAACCGAAGAAGAACGATGATTGGTATTTGGTGTCGACAAACTGGCCGTACTCAGCACCAGGACTCGGTGGTGGGGGACCACAATCAACGCGAGGGCAGGATGGAAGAATACCGCTCAGCCAGTAATCCGGAAGTCCCTAAAAATGACGAAATAAATTAAAACTTATTGTTAAGACTTGGTTTGAATTGATTGTTTACCGGCTTTGGATCGTAAACGCATTGTCTGAAGCCGGAAGTTGATGTCCGTCTCAAAGTTCTTCCGTTTGTGTTGCAGTGAAGGGTTACGTTATCCCTGAATGGTACTAACACGCTGTCTTCATCGTTGCGCAGCACTTTGAGTCCTTCGTTTTTATCATCGGGTAAAGATACACATTGTGCATCTGAAAATAAATATGAATTAATTAGGATCACTATAATAATTATGAATTTCAAAACTTACATTTGCATTCTGGCAGCGACCCATTCCAAACACCCGATGTGGTACATAGTAAGGAAGCAGATCCAGTCATCACGTATCCAAAGTCGCATTGGAAACGAATCAAATCACCGAAATGAAACTTATCTTTCGTCGATAAAATGGCGCCGTTTTCTGGTGCTGCGACTGTCGGGCACATAACAGGAACGCAGGATTTGTCAATTTGATATACATCGCCATTACGCGCGCCATTTTCTGAATTTTCTATGTGAAACGATGCAGTACCGTTGTGTGTATACAATTCATAACCTATATTACAACCGCAGGAAGAGTCTCCCGCGTTATTTATACATTTCTGCTGACATCCGCCATTGTTGACAGAACATTCGTTGATGTCAATACATTCCAATCGTGTGCAACCCATTACTTCCAGTTTTAGACATGGCGCTCCAACGTAATCTTGGATTTTGAATTTGATATACTGCGCTTCGATCGGTACTGGTAAATTTAGTATGGATAAAGTTGGTTTTTCAATCGTAAACTCGACTGCAAGGCCATCAGGATTTCTGTACTCTTTGAACACGTCTGTTAAATCGTCGGTATACTGAATTCGGACTGCTGAAGTAAAAGCTATGTTCCCGTCTAGTCTTTGCACCGCCATAGTTCTGAATCCCCTTATTACCGTTGGAGCTTTTAAGTCCAGTAGTATCCAATTGGAACCACCTTCGATTGTGTTGCCGCACCACCCTCCTCCGTTGAGACGAACCATCTAGGAATTACATTTGAAAAATTATTAGTTAACTAATATGGTAGACCAAACAATAGAACAGTTCCAACAGAAATACTAACCGACTTATCATATCCAGCTTCATTGCCAGATACAGTTATCGATTCGTCAGGAATACCACCATTCACTAATCCCAAATCACCAACCGGTCTACATTCTTGCGTCGTTTCAAAACCTTTGCGACACTTGCAATGAAATGATCCTGGTACGTTGACGCATTCGGTTGAAGCCAGATCGCATTGACTAGTTATACACTCGTTGATATCTTCGCATCTGGGCGCATTGTTGAACAGTTGATTTTCGCCGCACCTTATGATGCTGCTACCGATTAACTTGTAGCCTTTGTAACATTGGACTCTAGCTTCGTCGTTGTAGTAGTAGTCTCTGGAGGTGTCTGTTAGAAATCCGTTCTGGATTTCTGGGAATTGGGGACATTTGGCACCTGTCAAAGTATGTTTTTGTACATTTAGAGCAAGCATAGATATAGAAAATTGGACTATCTAATTGAAAATAATAACTTACGTGAACAAATAGGTACGTCCCCAGACCAGGTACCGTTGCTCATACACAGAATAACCGGCGGGCCACTTCGGATGTATCCTGGTTCGCATTCGTACCTCACAATGGTACCATACGATCGCCCCAAACCGTTCAATACGGTTACATTTGCGTGAGGTACTTCCGGTAAAGTAGAACATTGAGATGCTGAAATAAAAAATGAGATTGTTAATAAAAATGACAAAATATATCATTCACACTATAATAACGAGTTCTTAAAATTCTACCATACCTAAACAATTTGGTTTCTTCTCCCAATGTCCATCCGACAAACACGATATCCTTTCTATAGCTTGACCTGTAGGAAAAGCAAATCCAGCGTAACATTGGTACATAGCCTGGCCTCTGTAGGTAACGTTAGTTGATCCAATGGAGAACCCGTTATCTATTTGTGGAACAGGCCCACAGTAAACTTCTTGACATTTAGGTATGTAACTGATAGACCAGTTTCCGCCCAGCATACATTGCGTTGTTAATCTGTTGCGACCGGTAGCGAATTCTTGTCCAGTTGGACAGTTGAAGGTTATGATGGTACCGAAAGCTGTGTCTCTGCTTGAGGCTAACGCTCCGACTCCAGGCTGGAGAGGAGGACAATCTGAAATAAATCAACAAGTAAGTCGAATGCATAAGCGAATGTTTGAGATATCTGTTACCTGCTGAAAATGTTGCTTCCCATCCAATATTGTTGTGTAGAGCGTCTGTCATGAATCTAACCAGCATTTCTCCGGTTGACGCAGTTAGAGTTATTTTGGGTTTCATTTCAGAGCTGAAACCGTTTCCAGAATGCAGTCTAAGTCCGCTAGTTGTAGGGCCGTCAAAGACTTGCACGAAGTCTGATTTGTCGACATCGAAATTACCGAAATTAAGCGATAGCGGTTGACCACCTGGATTTCTGATTTTATACAGACATTCTTGGTTGCTTGGATAGTTTTCCAATCCGAAGGCTGGCGAGGATATTGTGCCATTTCTAGCCACAATTGTTGCTTTGCAACCTGTTAATATAAATACAAAATTATATTTCATAACAAAATAGTTAAAAAAAATTACCTTGTGTGTATCTGATCCTAAATCCTCTCCTTGAGTCTCCTAGTCTAGTTCTAAAGTAAATATATAAATGGTTACTGGTCGACATGATCACTTTTTGATTATTTTCCCATTTTCCGGTCAATTTAGCGATGGGTTTGCTTTTCGGGGAATCACCGTCTCTAACCAAAATAAAATCTCGAGTTTCATCTAAATCTAAGTCGTCAACCTCAAGTGTTATAATTTTCCCGCCTTGAGATTGTATGACATACAAGCATTCCAATCCACCAGGATACTGTTCTGGATACCCCGGTGAACTTAAAACCTGTCCTTGAGGTGTCGCACGTAGGGTACCACCGCACGTTTGAGGTTCAGTCTTCCAGGAAGCTCTGAATCCTTTCCGTTCCACAGAAGCATCAGTACTGAATTTAATTATCATGAAGTTTGATCCTGATACGAAGGACCTGTTGGTTAAGTCCTGTTTTCCTGAAAGCGTGGCTAGGTTTATGGACGTGTCTTCTGTTCTACCGCCTGCTAGGATTTGAACCGTGTCAAATGTTTTTTCTGTTTCGAATTCTTGAAATTGGAGTAAGATGTTGTGACCTATAAAAAACATGTTAGCAAAGCGTTCAGAGAGAATTTTAATTATAACACACCTTGCGGTCCTTCCAACGTCCATTTGCAGTTCGTTAAGGGAGCATACTTATGAGGATAATAAGGACTTTCTACTACATCTCCGCTGCTAGCCAGATAGAAGTTGCAATTCGTCGCGCAATCCAACTCGTCCGAACCATCGCCGCAATCGTCTTGTTTGTCGCAACGGAATTTTTCGTTGACGCACAAACCGTTAGAGCAATGAAACGAACCGGTGGGACACGCGCGTGCCCGACACATGAAAGGTTGCAGGCTTTCGCAAGTCGTCAGTTCCCATGATTGAGCTTCTTCTGTTACTATCACGTCCACACATTCTCCGGCTTCTGGATTCGGTTGATTCAGAGACCAAAATCCTGGATACAAATTAAATATATTAATGATTAAGTCTAGAATCATACAAGACGTCATTTTTGAAATTAGGACTGATTGTTTTTAAATTAGGACTGATCATTTCTAAATTAAGATTGATCGTTTTTAAGTTAAGACTGATCATTTTTAAATTAAGACGGACTGTTTCTAAATTAGGACTGATCATTTCTAAATTAAGAAGGATCGTTTCTAAATTAAGAATGATCCTTTCTAAAATTATGCGTAAACCATTGAGGATATATGTGTACAAAAAGGAGGATTTACGAAGATGTAGGAGGATTTCCCGAGGATGTATGAAGATGCTTAATTTCACCAAACGACTAACAAAGGCTCATAAATAGATCCAAAAATGTTTACAAATTTCAGCCCTAAGATACTTGTTATTTTGTTAAAAAACTCGAATAGAACAATCATTCCGTGCTTTTTTTAGGATTTTCGTTTTTCGTAACAGTTTTTACTTTAAATTTTACATATAACGGCGTCCACTATAAAGTTGGGTACATATGTAACATATTTTTATTTGTCATTTGTCAGGGATGAAAAATATACGCTTGATCTAAAAACTTTTGCTCAATAGACAGGATATCTTAAAAAATAGAAAAATATGAAACCATAAAACCAAAAATTTGCTCGGATCGAAATATCATCAACAGCAAAATTTTAGATTGTTAAAAAAGAAAGAACTGTCTTTAATATCTTTTCTCCATATGGGCTTTAGTTCGTTTACAAAATTATGCCTAAATATTGTCAAAAATCATTTTTTCTAATAATGGAAATTGCTATGATATTAATTATTCTAGAAAAAAAAAAACAAGTTGGAAGAAAACGTTGCTTATTTTTTTAAGGACCACGTGCATGTCATTTCGATTCAAGCAACTTTTTGGTTCTGTATTTTTAGAACATTCTGTATATTGAGCACATATTTTGAATAGGTCAAAGTTATTTATGAGGATTTCTAATGAATGATATATAAAGGATTTCCGTGGGTATGAATTATTTTTAAGGATTTACAAGGATCTGCTAAATTAAAACTAATCCTTTCTAAATTAAGACTGATCATTTTAAAATTATGACTGATAGTTTTTAAATTATAATTTTACGGAAATTACCTGAATACTGTGAGACTAAGGCACCTGCTGCTGATTCAAGAGTATTGGTTCGGAGATCGTCTAAAGAGGCTAGACCGAGCCAATAGTGATTGGCTCCTCGCCTTTCTAGTGGCACCGATGAGGTAGCTATCGCAGCTGTTATGTTATTTTCACTAAATGTTTCTACTGCCATCAATTCACTACCATACCTGTAAAGAACATTAAAATCAGTATTTTACTCGACAGAAGAAAAAATAGTTGCTCTTCCAATTCCAAGAAAATGTATATCATAAAAATAAAATCAGAAGAAAATAAGAAGAAAAATTAGTTTTTAACATGAATATTTATTTACATAATACTCATTAACTAATTTTATTTAATAAATAAGCCAAATAAAACAAATTTACATGAGTAATAACTAATAAGTTTATAATTAAATCTTTTTGATGAACTAATGTTTGTTAATTCGAAATAATCTTTTTGATCCTTAATGTACAGCATTTCTCTAACGTATTAAGAACGCATATTTGTAACGTCCTAACATTATTCATTAGTAGTCACGTTTAATAATAAATATTAGTTTATACAGATGACTGCATTCGAGATCTCTCTTTATGTAATGACGGGCTAGGTGTAAAAAAGCGTGACTTTACGCTACTTTTTCTTTTTCGATGCTGCTAATAAAATTATTTGACGGTTATTAGTGCTAGAATTTCCACCATAATCAATTCGATATCTACTAAAAGTATAATACCTATTCCATCAGTAAATTTTATGTCAATTAAAGAGCAAGAATATGTACAAGGCAAATGGCAAGTGCATTTTATTTTTTTGTAAAAATCTTTAAATACAAAAAAATTATAGACTATTCTCTAGCCCTAGTAGTAAGCAGCATAAACTGTTCTGTAAATCGTGACTGTATACCAATGGTAAATGAGGATGCCTATTATCAATCTCTCTCAATTGAACTTTTCGGATTCTCTACAAATCAAAATAATTTCAGTATATATAATAATAGCAAATCTTACAATTTTAAAAAGCAAACTTTCTGTCTTTATACAGGGTGTTTCAAAAAGGTATGTCATAAATTCATCCTCAGATAGATTACCAAGAAATAAGTGGATTTGGCTATATTTACCTATATCAAAAACTGGCTCCCAACAAAGTTACAGGGTGTTAAACTAACATTAAAAAAAACGCTTTTTTGTAAAAAGTTTGCTGTTGCGATTTTTTCTTCGAAATTTTTGCCAATGCTGTAGATTTGAAGGCACAATATTCTAAGGAGAAAAAAATTTTTAAAAGGACCCCTTTAAAAAAAATTGGGGGGTTGGGTACCTTTTAACCCCCCCGTATTTTTTTGACATAAATAAACCTGCTTTATCGATCCTAAAATCAAAAAGAACTATGAATTTTTAATTTTTTTTTATAGCAAAATGAACTTTGTATCTTTCTTAGTTAACGAGCTATTTACAATTTTTTAACTGAATTTCTAGAGTAATTCGTCCGTCCTGGACTTAATATATCAACAAAACTAAGAGTAGGTCAGGAGTTATTGTACAAAAAACGCATATAAAAATCAGTGATGTGCCTAGAGCTGTGCTTGAGCCGCCCCTGCAAAAACTACGTCTTTTATTTATATTTTTGTATTCAAGAAGGAGGAAGAAATATGTTGAATATTTACTAAATTAAATAGTTTAAAATATGTATACCAAATGTTTATTTTTAATTGTTAATTATTTGTTAATTGTTTAATTTAAAAAATAATTTTTTTATTGATAAATACATTTCCCAACTAACGTGTATTTTTATCAGTGGCATGGTGAACCCATAAGGACGGGTGGCACACCTTTTTTATGGCGCCAATCCAATGTTATAAATACCGTTTTTACAAAAGTATAAATAAAAAGGTAGTTTTTGCAGGGGCGGCTCAAGCACAGCCCTAGGCACACCACCGATTTTTATATGCGTTTTTGTACAATAACTCCTGACCTACTCTTAGTTTTGTTGATATGTTAAGTCCAGCACGGACGAATTGCTCTAGAAATTAAGTAAAAAATTGTAAATAGCTCGGTAACTAAGAAAGATACAAAGTTCAATTTGCTATAAAAAAAAATTTAAATTCATTTTCTGAATGTTAGTTTAACACCCTGTAACTTTGTTGGGAGCCAGTTTTTGATACAGGTAAATATAGCCAAATCCACTTATTTTTTGGTAATCTATCTGAGGATGAATTTATGACATACCTTTTTGAAACAACCTGTATAATGAGTTTTTTCACACTAATTGGAATTTTTTAGAAAAAATTACTGACAATAATGTTGGCGTAGAAACCTTCTATAATAAGTTTTATGAAATACTTGATCAACATGTTCCAATTTTTAAAAATTTCAAACATACCTAAATATCCAGTCTGGTATACTAGTGAAATCATAAAACTTATTAAAAAAAAAAGTTAAGTTCCATAGAAAATTTAAAGCTAGTGGAAATATGTTTAGTACCAAGAATTTAGTAGACTTCGAGTTAATATCAAACTTAAAATCAAGGAAGCATATGCATTGTATTTACAAAATATTCAGATCAAGCTATCTGATGAACCAAAGTTATTCTGGTCATTTGTTAATAAAAAAAGGAAAACTTCTAGAATTCCTGGTAAAATGTTCTATAATGATGAATTGTATGATAATCCTGATTCGATAGTGAATGCATTTAGTACATTCTTTGAAAGTGTCTATTCTTTGCCAGAAGATAGTGAAGACATGAATTTGCAACTAAGCTATGATCCTAATATGCTATTAAATATTAATAATGTAGCAATAACGGAAAAAGGAATACTAGATGCTGGTAAAAAATTAAAAAATAAATTCACCTCGGGTTCAGACAAAATACCTTCTTTTCTCTTAAAAAATTGCTTAATAGTATTAATATATCCCCTACAAACTCTTTTTAATCTAGTCATTAAAACTTCAGTCTTTCCAGATGTTCAGAAAGTAAGTAAAATCTGTTCCATATATAAATCTCAAGATCGCGTTGATATAAACAATTATAGGCCAATAACCATTCTTAATAACGCTGCAAAACTTTTAGAGGTCATCTTGTATAACTGTATATATCTATCTGCTAAAAATCTTATATCTGAATATCAACATAGATTTATGACTTCTCGTTCAACTGTTAGTAATCTGGCAATTTTTAGTCAATATCTCTGTGAATCATTAGATAGTAGAGGACATGTTGATGCATTATATACCGATTTCTCTAAGGCCTTCGATAAAATCAGTTACAAAATAATTCTGCAAAAGCTTTCTAGTTTAGGTTTTGATATTACTTATGTACATCTTATCATATTTAATTAAGCGCAAACAATAAGTTTGTTATAATGGATTTATTTCTAATTACTTTACTTCAACTAGTGGAGTTCCTCAAGAGTCCAATTTAGGGTCACTATTGTTCTTAATATTCATTAACGATTTGTGTGAGTCGCTTGAATGCAATAGGTTAATGTTTGCAGATGACTTAAAATTATATACCAGTATCTCTAGTACAGCAGATTGTTTAACATTGCAAAATCAAATTAACCTATTGCAGGAATGGTGTCACAGAAATCGCCTCTTCTTTAATATTTCTAAATGTACAATTGTGACTTATAGTCGCAAACATATTTCTCTGAATTTTCCTTATTCCATTAATAATAATATTTTGGAAAGAACAGACACTATTAAAGATTTGGGTGTTCATTTTGATTATCAAGTTACTTTTAACTACCACATTAACTCTATTGTGAATTCAGCGTACCGTACCGTACCGCTTCTGCTTCGGAATTGTCGGTTTTCTTGTTTTAATCTGACAGGTTAAAACGACTAAACCGACAATTCCGGAAGCAGAAGCGGATGATTAAAACGCATCTGATATTTTGCTTGCTGCTGTCAGTGTCAGTGAATATTATTTTTGGAATCACAGTTTATTGCTAAAGAATCAGTTAGCTCACTCGGACTAGTTGAAAGTTCCAAAATAACATCCACTCCAGGGATACAAATTCAGGATACGCAGAAGACTGCTGTTTTATTATAGGCGGTTGTCATATATTGTATTATCCGAGTTGCGCAGTGTATAAACTGGAACATTGAGATCAAAAGTGCCGAGTGAGTGATCTAATTCTTTAGCTATAAACTGTGGCACATGAATCAAAATGGGCGCGCCCTATGTTGGGCGTGTCGGACCTCTCTCTTGCACCGTATAGTAATCAAAGTATGTGGTCCGCACCTTTACATTACACTTTTACGTCATATTTTTAACTAGTGAAGTTAGTCAGTTTTGGTGAAAATAAATGCCATTTTTCTTAAATAGCTTCATTTAAATGTTATAAAATCATTTTCATTACGCCAGTCTTCAAATATAAAATTAATGACTTCAAAGAAATCAAAGTACCACTCAAATCGCCATTTTATTTACACCTTCCGTCACTTGAAGATGAACGCAATCTGTCATAACGCAAAATAGTGTTCATGTCGTCTCTATTTTATTCTAGCTCAATGATTGTAACCTTAGAGCATATAAATTGTAACTGATAACACGATAACACATATTTTTTTGCCATGGCTTTTTAACATGTTAGTTCAGTAACTGAAGGGACCAACCTGTCATTAAGTCGGTCCAGATTTCCGTTGTGGCTCAACTCTTAGGTCTCGGCGGTTGCTTCCAAGGTCGAAAACTTTTACCAACTCTGCTGCGTCGGAAAGGGTCCAAAATGGACCTTAAAACTGGTTTCCCGCCAATATCCTCCACGATATACAAATTAGATAAAAAAGAAAGATCTTATCATTATCTACAAAAATGGTACCTATCATTTTTGTCGGGAATTCGACAGGTTTCGAAATAACCGCAATCAAAAGTCTCCTCGTTCAACGTTTCATACGTTTTCGGAGTTCTAGAAATTTCTGAAACAAGCAGTAATTAAAAACTCATATTTCATTATGTTGTTATTCAATGCACACCATTTTAAAAAAATACCTTCGAAAAGTAGACACTCTAAGCTTTAAAATGGTGTGCATTGAATAACAATATAATGAAATATGAGTTTTTAATTACTGCTTGTTTCAAAGATTTCTAGAACTCCGAAAACGTATGAAAAATGCAAATAAACAAATCAATTTTGTTTTAAAACGCCAGAAAAATTTCTGAGATCTTTCGAGACATCTCAAGATCCCATTTA